AGTGTTAGTAGACTACCAGAAAAAGATTTACTACCACAGTGTTAGTTAGTTATTTAGTTATTTAGTTAGTTAGTTAGTTAGTTAGTTAGTTAGTTAGTTAGTTAGTTAGTTAGTTAGTTAGTTAGTTAGTTAGTTAGTTAGTTAGTTAGTTAGTTAGTTAGTTAGTTAGTTAGTTAGTTAGTTAGTTAGTTGGGTTATCATCATTGTACTCCGGACATGTCCACAGGTGCTCAGATCCTCCCCTCAGTATGAACCCCAACGTCCGATGGCTAATAGTACCAGTTCTATGTTGATTAACAAGTCTTCTTGCGTGTCTGGTGTGCGTCTCGTTTTTTGCTATGCCGATCTTAATTCCCAAGTCTTCCATTCTGGAGAGTGATGTGGATTCACTGTCACCAAAGTCCTCTATCCTCTCTGAGGGCATTAATAATATCAGCATGATCCATAGGCCGACCGTCGGTAGTGATAGCGGATCCAGCAAACCTGTCAGCTCTTTCATTTCCATCGACGCCTGTGTATCCCGGAACAAAAATAAAGGTGACTTCCCGCACAATGGACTTCTTTAATGATTCAAGCCATTGTCTTCGCACTGAACCTGCCTGAACCCTCCAGTTCATACTCATGGAGTCACTGAGTATACATATGCGGGTGTATTTTTGTGTTTCAAGCCAGGCAAACGCTTGCGTCACTGCCATCACCTCCATCGTCATGCTGCTGGTTGTCATGGAGAAGGCGCCGTTGGCTTCTTTAACTGTTCTGCCCGCTGAGTGTGCTGTAAATGCCCATGCGCTTTTTCTTTGGCGTATAACGGATCGGTCTGTATAGATTAGTGCATCTGCTTCTTCTGAATTTTCACCGATGAGAGCGTTTACCTCTGCATAAACAGCAACAAGATTCTTTTCTCTACATCGGCTGTTGAGTGTGGCAATACAGGAGAATGTAGAAATAAACGCATGAGGCACAGGTATCCACTCTGCACAGTGGTGATGTCGGTTATGCTGCATATTTGCCCAATAACATCTTCTGCCCTACCTACCCATGATTTTCCTCTCTTTCACTAAAAAGCGCTTGATGCAGTGGGTGTTTGTTATCAGCATATATTTTAGGGTATACCCGAGCTCTCCAGATCCTGATCTTTTGGTTCATAGTTGGAAAGTCAAATAGATACCTCATTGCTCCACGGGATGTGTCTCTTGTACATCCCAAAAATAATGCGCATGGCTTCATTCTGCACCTTTTCAAGTCGTTCAATCTGGGTAGCACTGACAGTAAGGATGGCCAGAGCGTATTCAATGGGGGAAAGGACCAGACCGTAGAACAGAAGTATTAGTAGTCTTTGCTCAATATTGGAAGCAGTCATAATCCTCATTGCAGATAGACCTTTGCGTGCTTTTGTTTTCCCATGGTCAACAAATTCATTTAGTGACAAGCTGCGATCAAACCTCATCCCGAGAAACGTCATAACGTTGGTTCTGATCACCACATTATCACGCCTTTTCACTTCTGGTAAGTCTGACCTGACAATGTGATTGTTCAAGGAGAACCATGACATTGATGCCTTCGAAAGATTGACATAGGCATTAGAACAATCACACCGTGCGGCAATTCGATCGAGTTCTTTGTCCATTGTGCTGGCGATCTCCAGTCTATCACGCCCTCGTCGATACATCAAAGTGTCATCAGCAAATGACAGTGTGTTCCGTTCTATGCTGTACACTCCATTGAATATCGTAAACTCAATTCAGTCCAGCAACACTGGTCACTCACCAACGTTCGTTTCAGAGTGTCTTATGCACTTCTTCGTTCCTTCATTTCCGTTGTTTACCATTTAGGTGTGTCTGGTGATTTTCTGCTCGTTTTTCCAAAATGTGCCCATTAAATTGCCTTTACCTCAGCAATAATAAAGGGTAAACTATTTTTGTCGAGAGTACGAGGTGTGTTGTGAGATTGATTTACATGGTAAATATAGATCTTCTTCTTCTTTTTCTTCCTCTTCTTCTTCTTCTTCTTCTTCTTCTTCTTCTTCTTCTTCTTCTTCTTCTTCTTCTTCTTCTTCTTCTTCTTCTTCTTCTTCTTCTTCTTCTTCTTCTTCTTCTTCTTCTTCTTCTTTCGCAATTTACCTCAGCGAGGTGTTGGAGGGAGGAAAAGGAGGGGGGAGTGAAAGGATCGTTTGTGCGCTATTTCCTATACCAAACCAAAGTTGTACTTTATTGAATTGTATGATTGTTTTCAGTCCCAGTATTTTTCGAATTTCTACATTCTGATTTGATCTCTTCTTGTCACACCGTCAGCTCTCCTAAGACATCTCATCTCTGTTGTTACGATCTCCCGCTCATTATTTGTAGTAAGGGTCCATGTTTGGCACTGGAAGAACAGTGTCAGCCAAAAAAAAAAAATAACGTTCTTATGACATTTACTTTGGTTGACAGAAATAGGTTCTTAATTTATAACGTACCTCAGACACGAAATCCCCGTGGGAAATCCACAGCTGACCTGACAGTCCATTATTTCAAGGGGTGGAAATGTGCTGTTGTGTGGTGTGTTTTTTTAGTGTTCATCTAGTGTCTTCTAATGCTAACCCTAACCCTAACCCTAACCCTAAACTTGGCTGTAGATAAATCGCGAGAAACTACAACCTGAACACCCTCGAATTTATTGGGAATATCTCCCGTGACGTAGTCGTGACGTCAGGGGTAAGTTATAAATTAAGTACCCAAAAATATCTTTATATGCGACAGAAGCGATATTAATTGTCCCATAACCTGATTTGCTTTCACACATCGCATGTTAATTTCTCTATCCATTCTTGCATCTTCATGGATGGCTCAAGCAGAAGACACTAAAAGACAAGTATGCTTTTGTTCTAATGCAACTTTTACTTCTACTCTGTGCAATTTATTTCTACGTCTGAAACCCATCTGGGCTTCTGTTCTTCTACTTCTTCTGCGTTCGTCATCAGTCATGCTAAACATTGAGTACCGTCTGGGTCACAAATAGGACTGTGCGTTCAAGGTCGCCACCGGTCCCCCATAGCTTCTCTTTCAATGTGGCTCCCTTGGGCCAGATCCACAGTCTTTGCTGGGAGAGGTAAGGACAGTACTGTAGTATGTGCCCAGGGGTCTGTCTTTCTGCTCCACAATCACAGGCAACAGATTCTTTTATGCCTATCCTGTACAAGTGTATCTGGGCTTCTGAAAATTGTTCTTCTACTACTGGTCATATGCTTTCAATTAATTTGTCATACGTTTTCACTGTGTTGCTTAATAGTGATGTTCCTTTGTAGTTAGTGCACCTTTTTCTAGTCCATTTTTTCCCCACATCGGTATAATTATTGCTGTTTGCCAGTCATCTGGTGTTTCTAGTTCTAGTCAGGCAGTCTGGAGAATTTGCATGACCCACTTTTCTCCTGTTTCTTCAGCTGTGGTGGTGCCCAAGAAAAAATTTAAGAGATGAGAGAGTGTCCGAACTAAGTTCAACAAACAAGACCTTTATAGAGTAGGAACGTTAAATATATGTTGCTGGGGCAACAAAGTAGTAAGGAGACTATGCAACTGATGGAAAAACACTAAGTGAAGACTTTAGGCTTGGCAGAGTTAAAATCGAAGAAAAAAGGGACAGAAAGGTTACACAAAAATATTGTATTGGTATACTCTGGTATAGACTAGACTTAACGGGCAAAACATGGAGTAGGTTTCATCATTGACCATAAACATAGATACAGAGGTCAATACTCAACAGGCGAGACATTTAGCATTAGTTGTTACCCACGTGTACAGCAGCAGTGTCGGGATCGGGGGAGGGGGGAAGGGGGCACATTTACCCTTTCCCTCCCCTCCCCCAATATTGATGCAGTTGGGAGGGCAGGGGAAGGTGGCTGAGCTGCCCAATAATTTTCAGAAGTTGCCTGAGCCCTTCCCCCTCGCATTCAAGTCCTGTTTCTAAATTAGTTGTCTCTTTGCTGGGCGGGCCGCGCCTACAGGGAGAAGCAGGGTTCTGAGGAAGTTTCAAGCAGGCGGAAACAATTGTGAAACTACGTACATTTGTACTAGTAAAAATCCAGATGTTTAGTCTCAACGTCTAGACAACAAAACAACATTGCTAGCTTGATGTGGAGAGTGCAGTGTGCCTTCTCAAACACCATACTAAAAATAGCAGATATCATCAAGACGAAGCAGTGCCAACCATCATTTCGATATTCGGACACTAAATTACCGATTGTTGGTTTGTTTCTTTTGTTAGTTCCTACTTTGAATTATGTGCGTGTTGTTGCCATGTACTAGGGGGGGGGGGGGGGGGGGGCAGGTAAAAGAGGTTAAAGACCACTGTTCTAAGCATTTGTTTTTGCATTCCATACTATTTCAAAGATATAATCAGCACATTTTTATTTCAGATTAAGCATATAATAATAATAATACTTATTATTATTTGTATTATTTAAAAAGACTTGGTCCTGCGCATTTAAACAACGCCCAAGTCGTAGAAACATTTATTTGGCCCCCTCCTCCCTAGTGTTGTGTTTTGCCTAAACAATTTTTGGGGAGGGTTGCTCAGGGCGTACAAAGCCCCCCAATAGATAACTATGAATTAATCGAGTAACAGAAAGTGTATTGATCGGCACTCATAGAAAGAACTAGAAAGATAGAAGAACACACTAGACAACATAAAAATCGAAAGCTATAATTACCGTGCCGGGAATTGAACCTGTCACCTCCAGACGGCGTCTGCGCCTCGCCATGAATACAAGTGCACTAAGAACATGGTCAACTAGGCACCCCCCCTCTCCCCCCCCCCCAAAAAAAAGGTGTCTTGTTGGCCACGTCTATGGTACAGTCCAATAGATCACGGAGTCCCTAACTAAGTGAAGAAGAAGACAATCAATGAAAAGGTGCGTCTGTTTGTGTGGGCCGATAGAAAAGTGCGACTGAGTTCCGGCGAAAGATGCCGAGCGGAAGTGGAGGAGAATACAAGCAGCAGACAGAACAACAGCAGAGACTCCAAGCATGGCTTCAGCCGGAGACTGGTGCCTCATTGAAAGCGATCCTGGCGTCTTCACTGAGCTTATTCGCGGATTTGGTAGGTTCACTAAACACATATATCCATGGCCTTCATGGTCGTGCAGTCGGTTTATGAAGCGCAACATTCCAACATCTTGCCTGCCCAGTTCGGACCAGCCGGCGTCACGATCACAATAATAATGTGTGAATCGTTTGTGAATGTGTTGTCCAGTCAATTGAGTCAATCAATGCGTCTGAAGTCGAAAACTATACAATAAAAACAGTTTATTCTGCTACCTTATAAATTAAAAGAATGAGACTCAATGTGTGATCAGTTAGGGACAGTGATTATCTGTACAAGTTTATATATTTTGTGCTATAATAATAGAAAAGATAAGCATTAGTCATTAGTGAATTATATCACTGCATTCAATCCATAGCCATAGGATAGGTAATAGGTGCCCCATTCCAGTCAGTAGCTGCACAAGAATATCATCAAGACTGATGACATCATGCCCCTTCTGTGTTGGTTAACATCCTGGGTGAAAGGTTCATGTCCAGACTCCAGGTTGCTGCTGTGTGTCCACCAACCCCGGCTAAAATACTCCTGATACTGAGTCTATCAGAATACATTATTAGCTTTACTTACAGCTGTACTGTAGCATAGGCAGCAAATATTTAAAAAAAAATGTCATTAGGTCACCTCGCCCTCTACTCTAATTTTGAAAGTGACACTCGCCCCCCCCCCCCCCCCCCCCCCCCCCCCAAAAAAAAAAAAACATGCATAGACATACTTTTGAGAATTTTTCATGCATTTCATATTTTTTAAAATATTAACGTATTTATTGACCAAACAATAACGAATGCTAATTCCTATTGTCCAGTTGAACAACACTTGAGGGCCCCCCTCCCATAATTTATCATGGCATTGTGTCTTGAGTCCTGTGGTATGATGTCGTATCAGGCTATCTAATCTGCAGGTTTCAGTGTTTACTAAGTCATAATGTAAGAGGTGAGGCAAAGTTGTTGTTGGGGTATCCAGTTTACCTATTTGTCCTGGGAATGTTTTCAAAATAGGTCATAAACTCATGGGAATACCCCTCAAAATTTTCTTTAAAAAATATTTTCCACAGGTCAGTAATAATTTTTGTAAACATTTATTTGTCTACATATTTTACATTGGGGGGGGGGGGGGGGTGAGTATGTGCAAAGGGGCAGTCTGTTAACTCTTTGAGTCCCAAGGAACGCATCATACGTTCATAGACTCCTACCTAGAAGCCCAATGAACGCAAGATGTGCCGATTTTACATCTCTTCTGACTACCCATTGGGCCTTATGTGCTAAACCCCCTGGGACTCAAAGAGTTAACATAAACATAGTGATGGATGACATTCCTTGAACCTAAAACAACATATGTATGGTATGAGTCATCATGTCACCCCCTGACCTCTGAACCTCAGTGAGGTTTTTATGAGACAATTTGACATTAACTTGGCTTTAAAAAATCCATTTTGGTCACAAGTCACGGCCTCTCCCCATCCACCCCCCCCCCCTGCTATTTTTAATATATATTCTTATCCTGGCCACTTAAATGCCAGGGAAAGAACAAAAATAATGATCAATGGCAGTAACTAGATGACTTGTAAACATGCCACTGTAGAAATACCAGTTTCTTTGCACTCTTATGGAATTGTTACCTATCGGAAGCACTAGGTTTGCTGCCCTCTGGGGTGAGAGGGTTCAGGCTGAGACTCATAGAAAATAGTTCAGATAGACTGATACAGAGCATACAATGCTACTAGGGCATTTTGAGCCTGTATTGTGTTTGAGACGCGTGCTGAAAGATGTTGTGTTGGGTATGTTGAGCTTGTATTGTGTCGGAGACCCGTGTTGAAGGATGTTGCGCTGGGTATGTTGAACCTGTATTGTGTCGGAGACCAGTGTTGAAGGATGTTGCGCTGGGTATGTTGAACCTGTATTGTGTCGGAGACCCGTGTTGAAGGATGTTGCGTTGGGTATGTTGAGCCTGTATTGTGTCGGAGACCCATGTTGAAGGATGTTGCGCTGGGTATGTTGAACCTGTATTGTGTCGGAGACCCGTGTTGAAGGATGTTGCGTTGGGTATGTTGAGCCTGTATTGTGTCGGAGACCCGTGTTGAAGGATGTTGCGCTGGGTATGTTGAACCTGTATTGTGTCGGAGACCCGTGTTGAAGGATGTTGCGTTGGGTATGTTGAGCCTGTATTGTGTCGGAGACCCGTGTTGAAGGATGTTGCGTTGGGTATGTTGAGCTTGTATTGTGTCGGAGACCCATGTTGAAGGATGTTGTGCTGGGTATGTCGAACCTGTATTGTGTCGGAGACCCGTGTTGAAGGATGTTGCGTTGGGTATGTTGAGCCTGTATTGTGTCGGAGACCCGTGTTGAAGGATGTTGCGCTGGGTATGTTGAACCTGTATTGTGTCGGAGACCCGTGTTGAAGGATGTTGCGTTGGGTATGTTGAGCCTGTATTGTGTCGAAGACCCGTGTTGAAGGATATTCTGTTGAGTATGTTGAACCTGTATTGTGTCTGAGGCCCATGTTGAAGGATGTTGTGTTGGGTATGTTGAGCCTGTATAGTGTCTGAGACCCGTGTTGTAGAATATTGTGTTGGGGAAATAATTGCTGCTGTTTCAGGTTATTGCTGCTGTTTCAGGTTGTCGTGGGGTGCAAGTGGAAGAGATCTGGAGTTTAGATCCTGAAAATTTTGAATCCTTAAAGTAAGTTGCTGTGTTTACATTATAGTGATATTGTGACAGTATGTGTTAGTTATGTGAAAGTTAGTATTGTTTATATGTAGATATTAAAATATTACTATGACTATGAACAGGATCTGCTGCTTTTAGTAAATGTTCGACATAAGATGGCAATATTTGGAATGTGAGATATTGCAGTGTATTATGTTATCTCATATGCGGCATGTGAATATTTCTATTGTTGTAGAAGTTTCTTTGAATATTCTGTGGTGTTTGAAATCTTGACACTATGTGACTTGAGAATAGAACAGATGTTGTGTAACATGTTACAGAATACTCTTTCATTTGTCAGCAGGTCTTGTTTCATGAATGCCGGCAGGTCTTGTTTCATGAATGACAGCCTTTGGGTGTTCTTTTAGTTTTTCATAATCATTTGCCATGCCTAAAAACTAGGGCAGTACCGATTAGTGATTTTCACTATTCGGACGAATACGAATAGTGGGACCAACTATTTGAATATACGAATAGTATATCATCATCAAGTGTCTTGCCAACTGGTGTTGGCGATTTGACCTCTCCACAATCTGCGATCTCCTGCAGCATGTATCAGTTCGTGTGCTGACAAACCTCCATGACATGCAACAGGACTGTCAAGAATCTTCTCTCGTCTTTTTCTATCTCTCCTTTCACAAAACTTTCCAGTGGTCCCCACATGTTCCATTTTCACTCTTCTTATATATAACATGGCTGAAGAATGATGACTGTCTCCTTCTGATGTCTGTGATTAGTTGTCTTGGGGCTCCTGCCTCTTTTAAAACCTAGTGGTTGCTTTTTTTAGGCTGTCCAAGGTATTTTAAGCATTGTTCTGTAAAACCACATCTTTGAGGCCTCAAAAAATTGTTTGGCCTGTCTACCAATTGTCCAGGACTCATAGCCATATGTTAAAACTGGATGCATGTAGCAAGCAAGACAAAGATATATTGCATAAAATGTTTTTAAAAAAATAAAATGCAGTTTTTGTCTGTCCTATTTTGTTTTTTATTTCAGTAATGCATCTTTCATCTGATTTTATCCATGTGCCAAATTCGCATTTAAATCATTGTTCGCTCAGGCGTTCGTTCGATGTAATTTAAACGCACCTTTATACTCTCATTAACAATATCTTTAAATTTGATTTGGGCAAAGAAAGAAAAAATGCATGCTCTCTCTCTCTCTCTCACACGCACTCAAGCACACGCGCGCATGCACACACACACACAGATACACACGCACAAAAGAAACAAAAAAGAACGCATTGCCTTTAAAGATATGTGCTTACATGATGAGGCTAACAGTTAATATTGTACAGACCACATTTTCCACTTCAAAATTTGAGCAAAAATGTAGTCACAACCTTACTTATCTGCTGCACCTTCACAAATACAGTGGGAGGATTGGTCGCATGTCGGGATAAATACAAAGACAATTTTTAGCAAGCTGCGGTTGGCATTTTATGCAGTATGATACACTTTGAGTGTGAAACAAGAAAAAAAACTTTTTTGACAGTGGCGAGGAAAGACAATTTAAATTTTAACTTTCAAGTTTCTTCATGCCTTCTTTAATAATGTCACAATTTATAGCCAGCTTTTCTTGATTTTAGCCGCGGCACCCCTGGCATACGCACCCAGTTTTAGAACCTCTGCTGTAATGCCTCGGTTGAGTCAGTAGGCAAAGACCTTGCCACCTACTGTTACCATGCAACCGGGTCGCAGTTTTCCCCGCCACGACAGATTTAGGCAACGCTACTATTGTGTTAATGAGAGAGTTATTTCAGTCAAAGTTGTCTCTAATTAGAGAAGGCCGTGTTTCAGTCCATCGCAGTGTATGCAGAAATGACTATTTGTATTTGACCCGACCACCACTATTCGGCCGAATACCGAATATCTGTTAGGTCCACTATTCGGCTCCGAAGCGAATATTCAGTACAGCCCTACTAAAAACATAAGCATTCGTGGTTATGCAGCCCTAATTTATTGTTTCACTGAATTTTCATGTCAATTTATGGATATCTTTCTTGTTTATATAAATACTTGCTTCCTTATTTGTGATCTTCAGAACTATCAAAATTTGGCACTTTGATTTTATTGAGTTTACATTTTGACATTTGGAACCTTTAAAATTTTTGTTTTAAAGTGTATTGGTTCTGGCAGCCACAGTTTTTGCCTCAATCGCTGTGTGTACATCACAAGTCTGTGAGAGGTCTTCTTATGACCTCGATGGAACTAGACAGGGCCCACACAGGGCAGGAGCTATCCACACTCCTGGCAAAGATCAACAAACCAGATGAGGTTTTTGGACAGTAAAATTAAGTGACCAGGACATGCAAGGGCAGACAGCAGGACACTCACCTGGGAAAATGTCACTTTTGTCTGTGTTGGCACACAACCATATAACTTCTGACCAGACCACAGACAATTTGGGATAAAACAGCAGAAAATAACTAGAGGAACAAATGAGTGAAGTGAGACCTCCAGCCAGACTAATAAACTAACAAATGGGCAATCATGACCCAGACATACAGCAACAGGCGGCACACACAGCCATTATATTTGGTATAAAGACAATTTATTTCTGTGGCTACCCACACAAATAAACACAGAAACTAAAACTTAGGAGATTTAAGTAACTAAACTTGGCACACATAAAACCAGACCACAGCTATAACCAATAGCTCATAATAAGCTGGTTGAATGTGGTCAATTTTTTTCTCAACAACAATTAAAAAACACAAATCTTTAATCAGTGTCTTCAGTGTGATTATATTACAAGCGTATATGTTACCTGTAGACATGACATATTTTTGTCTTTCCCAGGCCTGTTCTTGGGCTCATCTTCCTGTTCAAATGGGCACCAAATTCGGAGCCAGATGGGACGATCGTACAAGACAGTCGGTTGGAAAAAATATTCTTTGCGTCACAGGTAAAATGGAATAAAGTCCTGGATCCAGATGCAAGATTGTTTTATTTATGATAACATTTGTTCTTCTTCATGCTTTCTTATAATGGTAGTTGGCACATTGTGTTATGGCTTACAGCCAGGCTGTAATATCAGCACCTTTCAGCCCAAAACATCCTAGCGAACTAATTGGGTCTGTTCTTTTTTTTTTCTCCCCCGCAAGAGCCACATAGGACAGAGTAAACATAGATGAACCGACAGCAGGCATAACTTTTGAGAATAATGCTGTATCAAGCTCTTCACATTGAACTGAATGGATGGAATAGGGGACTCGGTTGCATCTTGACAGGCAGACAAAACACTCTTGTGAATGTACTTTTGAGCTTAACCATGATCAGATTGGGGTTACTGACTGTCTACAATTATCATCAGAAATTGATGGACTCTTTTGCAGATTTGCAGCAGTCACAGTTTACACTATTAATTTCATTAAAGTGTCATAGTTTGTGACAAGTTTCACTAGAGTGTCATAGTTTGTGACAAGTTTACTAAAGTGTCATAGTTTGTGACAAGTTTCACTAGAGTGTCATAGTTTGTGACAAGTTTCACTAGAGTGTCATAGTTTGTGACAAGTTTCACTAGAGTGTCATAGTTTGTGACAAGTTTCACTAGAGTGTCATAGTTTGTGACAAGTTTCACTAGAGTGTCATAGTTTGTGACAAGTTTCACTAGAGTGTCATTTCTAGGAACCACTGCAGAACTCTATGTTTTCTCTGCAAGCCCAGAAACCACCAGGATGTGCAGCACTGGAACTTCACAGGTGTCATGTTTTAGGATGTCATCAGATATGTTCCAGCATATTGTATGTGCTGTCATTACCATACATAGGTGGTCCTAAACAAACATAAACAGAGAATTACATGTGAACCCCAGAGCAATGAGTTTAGCAAGTCAACATGCTTTCTCTACACTGCACTTATGTAGGTTGTGTACATTTGTAACTCTTAAAAGCGATCTTTCTGCGTATGCTTTTAATTTCCTGTTAAATGTTGACAGTGAAAAATATATGAATATTTGAAGTCAGAATACGATGGGAATTACAATTTATAACCAGGATCAAACGAATCAGAATATTCAGAAAAAATGTGGTTGCATCAGGACATGTTGGAAATATGAACCCTTAAATTCTTGCTGCTCCGATTTAAGGTGTTAACGTAACATGTGATATTTGCTAGTTATGGTTTCTGTAGCTGCATTGTGAGATGTCATCTCTTGGTGCTAGTTATGGTTTCTGTAGCTGCATTGTGAGATGTCATCTCTTGGTGCTAGTTATGGTTTCTGTAGCTGCATTGTGACATGTCATTTCTTGGTGCAAACATTTTAAAATTACATTAAAAAAAAAACATGTGTTAAATATGAAATGCAGTCATTGGATGGTGAACTTGACACAGAGCCATGTTTATATTTCTCTCTCACCTTGGTCAGATCATCAACAATGCCTGCGCCACACAGGCCATCCTCAGCATCCTGCTCAATGCTGTCCACGCTGACCTTGAGTTGGGCGACACTCTTTCTAGTTTTAAAGAATTTGTTCAAGACATGGACCCAGCTGTGAGTACCTGCATCTTGTTGGTTTTGTTGTTATTCCACTCTTGATGGGTTGTTTGCTCTTGACATGCTACTCATTCTTGTGATAATGCTTGTTGACCCTAGTTTGTCAGTGTCTGCTGGGCACAAATTTGACAGCTGACACTGCCTTGTCTTTTATTTTTAATTGTTTTAATATTTATATCATTTTCCCCCCTTATGTTGTTGTGTACTTATGAACTTACAAAGCTTCTGCATCCATTCTGTCAGCCCTGATTGTGTCATTGTGCAACTGTCGGGTTCCACTGTCTATTTTTTACTGACTGGTGGGATTTAAGCTAGTTCTGGGATTAACATTGTGTTACATTTGTGCCCCTCGTGCTTTAGTTTTCTCCTGTAGTCCAGGCAAGCATACTCTCAGCATGACATACAAACTCTGTAGAACCAAAGAGGATCAGAGTGTGGGTGGGTATACACAACAGTAACATGCTTCTTTTTATCTGTGCCCTTAAAAGAGGGTTGGCACATTGTTTTGTGATTTACAGCTGGACTGAGAGATCTGCACTTGTCAACCTAACACATTGATAACAACAAACACTTAATTATTTGCCTGTTATGACATGCTTGTTTAGCCTTTCACTTGGTTCCACTTGGTGGTCAATTGATGCATGTCAAACTGGATGTTCAGGACCCTTTGGGAGCCAGTGAACTGTGAGGAGGCACAAGTAGGTCTTCTGAAGCCTGGAGGCACAAGTAGGTCATCTGGGTTCTGCTGCAGCCAGGAGGCACAAGTAGGTCATCTGGGTTCTGCTGCAGCCAGGAGGCACAAGTAGGTCATCTGGGTTCTGAAGCCAGGAATCACAAGTAGGTCATCTGGGTTCTGCTGCAGCCAGGAGGCACATGTAGGTCATCTGGGTTCTGAAGCCTGGAATCACATGTAGGTCATCTGGGTTCTGCTGCAGCCAGGAGTGACCAGAGGATGGGGCTAGTGCTGAGCACTCAGGAAAGGGACAAGACATACAGTCAGACTGTTACTGGTACCATGGGAACTGGAACTCTGGGCTTGCTGCTGAAGATGAGGACAAAGAGCTTATGGTCCGAGTTCTGTGATATCGGTCTTAACTCTTGACCACATTTCACCATCACAAAGAAGAGTACTGAAATCATAGGCTTGAGAAATAAGAGAAACAAAAACATCTTAACCATGTGCTTCCGAACATGGCTGTGTTTCTAGTAACTGGATGTATATGTCACTTTTCATGTGCATAATTATAATGCAGGATGATTATTTTGTTTGTTAGAGAGAGATTTAAGTGTTCACTATCTGGGTCTCCCACATATTCATGAAGACAGAGTAGTTAGAAGAATAGATGGATGTAGAAAATGTCGATGTATACAAACATTGCAGTCAATTGTTCATGTTTTATTTTGTCCGCAGCTTCGAGGGCTTAGTTTAAGTAATTCAGACACAATAAGAGAGGTGCACAACAGTTTTGCAAGGTATGTACAAGTGTCATTTATTGTGTGTACATTGAACAGTTATGTAATTTGTGTTTATAAATGTTATGTTGGAGAGATACCATGTACCACATATGTTCACTGTTTAGCACATAAACACATATGCTCACTAGTATATTCATACTGACATTTACCACATTCACATAGATCAGTGGCCTCGGCTTAGAGGCTCATATGTTTTTCCCCATCAAGTGTAAAATTAGCTTTTTTTTTTAACCGGCTACTGTTGCATGGTAGTTCAGTCATAGCTGACCAAGACCTGACACTAGCTTGAGTTCCAGTCATAGCTAACCAAAACCTGACACTAACTTGAGTTCCAGTCATAGCTGACCAAAACCTGACACTAGCTTGAGTTCCCAGTCATAGCTGACCAAAACCTGACACTAGCTTGAGTTCAGTCATAGCTGACCAAAACCTGACACTAGCTTTAGATTAGTCATCACATTAAAAAAAAAAATTTATTTATTACAAAATTTTTAGATATCTGGACACAAAATGTTTTATATCAAGCTGTCACATTTATAACCTGATGTTGCATTTGTGATCTAATTCTGTGCTTTATGTCGATTCTGGCAGACAGCAAATGTTTGAATTTGACGAGAAGATGGCCAAAAAAGATGATGATGTTTTCCACTTTGTGAGCTATCTGCCCATTGATGGAAGGCTGTACGAGCTGGACGGTTTAAAGAGTGGGCCCATCGATTTAGGTAATTGTTGGTGTATCAATGGCTGTATGTGTGTACAAGTATTGGCTGGTCTTCTTCTGTAAGCTGTAAGTCATTTGTTGCTGTATCTGTACAGTATATCTTGTGTGCACTGTAAATGGTTAGTGTACTATGTATTCTGTGTGCAATGTAAATGGTTAGTGTACAGTATCTTGTATTTGGTTTGCAAATTGTTAGTGTACAGTAAACTCTGTTTACTGTAAATGGTTAGTGTACAGTATATTCTGTGTACTGTAAATGGTTAGTGTACTATGTATTCTGCGTGCACTGTAAATAGTTAGTGTACACTATCTTATATTTGCATTGTAAATTGTTAGTGTACAGTATAATCTGTGTGTACAGTAAATTGTTAATGTACAATATATTCTGTGTGTACTGTAAATCATTAGTGTACAATATATTCTGTGTGTACTGTAAATGTTTAGTGTACATTATATTCTGTGTGCACTGTAAATGGTTAGTGTACAATATATTCAGTGTGTGCTGTAAATGATTAGCATACTGTGTATTATGTGTGTACTGTAAATGGTTAGTGTAAAGTAAATTCTGTGTGCACTGTAAATGGTTAGTGTACTGTATATTATGTGTGCATTGTAAATGGTTAGTGTACACTATATTCTGTGTGTACTGTAAATGGTTAGTGTACAGTATATTCTATGTGTAATGTAAATATTTAGTGTACAGTATATTCTATGTGTAATGTAAATATTTAGTGTATAGTATATTTTATTTTGCAAACAGTTAGTGTATAATATGCACTTGTATTGTGTGTGCGCTGTCAGTTTTCAGTGCACAGTATATGTCAATTTATACTGTGAAGTTTTTTTGTCTTGTTAGTTGTTATGTTTAGAGGTTAAATAAGTTTTTGTGTCTTGTTTAAGAAAAAAAAGTAATTGTTGATGTCTATGTGTTGCTGAACGAGCTTCAGTTTGTTTAGGCTGTTGAGGTTTATCCAGGAAAAGTTCCATGATACCATGATGACTGCCATATATAATGTTAGCAATTTCATAATTCAAAGAGACATGTTTTCCTTTTGTCTGTATTCCATATCCATGTGTCTTTTATGTGAGGTCAGTACAGAAAGATTTCATCCTATAGAGGTCACCTGCCAGTTAAAAGAAAACTCTTTGGTGTTTCCATCAATTTGTATATACCCATGAAATTTTGTGTTTCCATCAATTTGTGTGTTTCCAAGAATTTGTGTGTTCCAGTTAACGTGTGTTTTTCAGTTAACCTGTGTATTTCAGTGAACTTGTGTATTTCAGTGAACTTGTGTATTTCAGTGAACTTGTGTGTTTCTGTGAACTTGTGTGTTTCTGTGAACTTGTGTATTTCAGTGAACTTGTGTATTTCAGTGAACTTGTGTGTTTCAGTGAACTTGTGTGTTTCTGTGAACTTGTGTGTTTCTGTGAACTTGTGTGTTTCAGTGAACTTGTGTATTTCAGTGAACTTGTGTATTTCAGTGAACTTGTGTATTTCAGTGAACTTGTGTATTTCTGTGAACTTGTGTGTTTCAGTGAACTTGTGTATTTCAGTGAACTTGTGTATTTCAGTGAACTTGTGTGTTTCTGTGAACTTGTGTATTTCAGTGAACTTGTGTGTTTCTGTGAACTTGTGTGTTTCTGTGAACTTGTGTGTTTCTGTGAACTTGTGTGTTTCAGTGAACTTGTGTGTTTCAGTGAACTTGTGTGTTTCAGTGAACTTGTGTATTTCTGTGAACTTGTGTATTTCAGTGAACTTGTGTATTTCAGTGAACTTGTGTATTTCAGTGAACTTGTGTATTTCAGTGAACTTGTGTATTTCAGTGAACTTGTGTATTTCAGTGAACTTGTGTGTTTCAGTGAACTTGTGTATTTCAGTGAACTTGTGTGTTTCAGTGAACTTGTGTGTTTCTGTGAACTTGTGTGTTTCAGTGAACTTGTGTATTTCAGTGAACTTGTGTGTTTCAGTGAACTTGTGTGTTTCTGTGAACTTGTGTATTTCTTTGTGCTTGTACTAATATAATATGGTATGTATCTAGGCCCCATCCCTGCAGACAAAGACTGGATCCACGTTGTCAGGCCCATCATTGAGAAACGTATGCAAAAGTAAGTCTGAATTCTGGCCTTTATTTGACTGGCACCAATCACTGCATCTGCTTAAATCACCTGAGCTGTCATCTTGTTCTGTGGTGGGCACACCATTGTTAGCATGCAGTGTTGTCAGAGACTTGCCAGGCCTTGCTCATGTGGCTACAGATTGCCTGGATATGCTAATGTTTTTAGAAATTGTTTAACTGAAGCAACAATTGGAGACACTGGAATGCTATGGTCCGTTGATTTTAACACTAGTGTTTAGAGTTATTGACTGAATTATATGTTTTGACATTATTGGCACCTACTCATGTGATTTTTCCTGCAGATGTGGTCTTTTGCCCAAGCAACCACCATACTTTGCAAGCTTGGATTCTTCCTACAGATTTTCCAATTGATCAAGCAGTTGTCAAACTGTTCAGGCTTTGGTTTCCCCATTTGACCACACAGTCACTGTAAACGCACATATGTTTATTTCACATAACCTTTTTGGCCTTGTCCGGAAATAGAATCCCTTCCCTCATTCTACTGGACTTATATACGTACAGCACAGCAACCTGCTCCTGTTGAACTCTTTTCTCTCAGAAAATAGCCTGGAACCCAGGCAGTCTCCTCAAAGCATCCCTGAAAAAAAAAATTCAATGAGTACAGTCCTCTGGGTTTAAACATACAAATACGGTGTCCAATATTGTGGCCCATAAAAAAGGTGAAAGGTAAAGTCGGTAGATGTGAACCAGTGTCATTGCACACGGTTATAAACCATAAGTGCTACAGCGATGTTCCTCCATTTACCCTCGAGGTCAACTCTGGTACCTATTTCCTAGAGGCTGGGTAAACCCCGGGAACCGTCCGGTTTCGATCACCGACCGTGGCTGCAGCGAGTCGCAGCTGGATTTGACATTATCATGTCATAATAACCTAAACATTATTTCTTCACAAATAGTATCACCCCAGCTAATGCTACTTTTAGTGAGTATAATCCTATGGCACTGCTCGATTAGTGATTATTTAGGGCCAAAGCTTTCAAGAACTGAGGCAGTTTGGCCACACAAGAGAATTACCAGCTGCCTGGATAGTTCAGGCTCTACAATGACAGCACATAGTTGTATTTGCTGTTTTATCTCCATGTGTTGTCAGGATTTGATTTGTCCAGCTGTGGAGAAATTTGTTGATGCCTCAGATTTGTGTGTTGCCATGATACGGACCACATCACTAATGTACTCTACATGTATAGGTCACATTGCTCATATGTACAGACATATACTTTCAGCACTGCTGGCACCACATATACTTAAAACAGCACTAACACATGTATATATATTATATTATATTATATAATGCCTTATGAAAGCTACTTGGTCAGGACAGTTTGTTTTAGCCCAGTTGCATTATGCTGTTGTTATTAAAACATTTTACTCTGTAAAATTGCTTATTGGTTTGAAGCATTGGTCACCTGTCCATGTTGTCTCAATGTCCATGTTGTCTGTTGCTGTGTGCAGGTACAGTGCAGATGAGATCCACTTTAACCTAATGGCCCTGGTCTCAGACCGGAAGCGAGCCTACACCAAGCGGTTGCAGGAGCTCACCAGTCTCGTGGAGGTAGGACATTTTTTCTAGACCCTATTTAGAAAAATCATTCTCACTGATATCATCACCATTTCTTCTTGCAACACTTCTGAGTAGGTATTTCTTCTTTTATTTGTGTTCGATTGTGAAGACAGTTTTGAGTGAGCTGGCTGGCTGTGATTGTGAGGACAGTGCTAAGGGTGTTGGCTAGCTGTGATTGTGAGGACAGTGCTGGTTGTGATAGTGAGGACAGTGCTGGCTGTCTGTGATTGTGAGGACAGTGCTGGCTGTGATTGTAAGGACAGTGCTAAGTGTGTTGGCTGTGATTGTGAGGACAGTGCTAAGGGTGTTGGCTAGCTGTGATTGTGAGGACAGTGCTGGCTATGATTGTGAGGACAGTGCTGGCTATCTGTGATTGTGAGGACATTGCTGGCTGGCTAGCTGTGCTTGTGAGGACAGTGCTGGCTGTGTTAGTGAGGACAGTGCTGGCTGGCTGTGATTGTGAGGACAGTGCTGGTTGGCTGTGATTGTGAGGACAGTGCTGGCTGTGTTTGTGAAGACAGTGCTGGCTAGCTGTGATTGTGAGGACATTGCTGGCTGGCTAGCTGTGATTGTGAGGACAGTGCTGGCTGGCTGTGATTGTGAGGACAGTGCTGGCTGTGTTAGTGAGGACAGTGCTGGCTGGCTGTGATTGTGAGGACAGTGCTGGTTGGCTGTGATTGTGAGGACAGTGCTGGCTGTGTTTGTGAAGACAGTGCTGGCTAGCTGTGATTGTGAGGACATTGCTGGCAGGCTAGCTGTGATTGTGAGGACAGTGCTGGCTGGCTGTGATTGTGAGGACAGTGCTGGCTGTGTTTGTGAGGACAGTGCTGACTGGCTGTGATTGTGAGGACAGTGCTGGCTGTGTTTGTGAGGACAGTGCTGGCTGGCTGTGATTGTGAGGACAGTGCTGGCTGGCTGTGATTGTGAGGACAGTGCTAAGGGTGTTGGCTAGCTGTGATTGTGAGGACAGTGCTGGTTGTGATAGTGAGGACAGTGCTGGCTGTCTGTGATTGTGAGGACAGTGCTGGCTGTGATTGTAAGGACAGTGCTAAGTGTGTTGGCTGTGATTGTGAGGACAGTGCTAAGGGTGTTGGCTAGCTGTGATTGTGAGGACAGTGCTGGCTATGATTGTGAGGACAGTGCTGGCTATCTGTGATTGTGAGGACATTGCTGGCTGGCTAGCTGTGCTTGTGAGGACAGTGCTGGCTGTGTTAGTGAGGACAGTGCTGGCTGGCTGTGATTGTGAGGACAGTGCTGGTTGGCTGTGATTGTGAGGACAGTGCTGGCTGTGTTTGTTTGTGAAGACAGTGCTGGCTAGCTGTGATTGTGAGGACATTGCTGGCTGGCTAGCTGTGATTGTGAGGACAGTGCTGGCTGGCTGTGATTGTGAGGACAGTGCTGGCTGTGTTAGTGAGGACAGTGCTGGCTGGCTGTGATTGTGAGGACAGTGCTGGTTGGCTGTGATTGTGAGGACAGTGCTGGCTGTGTTTGTGAAGACAGTGCTGGCTAGCTGTGATTGTGAGGACATTGCTGGCTGGCTAGCTGTGATTGTGAGGACAGTGCTGGCTGGCTGTGATTGTGAGGACAGTGCTGGCTGTGTTTGTGAGGACAGTGCTGACTGGCTGTGATTGTGAGGACAGTGCTGGCTGTGTTTGTGAGGACAGTGCTGGCTGGCTGTGATTGTGAGGACAGTGCTGGCTGGCTGTGATTGTGAGGACAGTGCTGGCTGGCTGTGATTGTGAGGACAGTGCTGGCTGTGTTTGTGAGGACAGTGCTGGCTGGCTGTGATTGTGAGTGCAGTGCTGGCTGGCTGTGATTGTTAGGACAGTCCTGGCTGGCTGTGATTGTGAGGACAGTGCTGGCTGGCTGTGATTGTGAGGGCAGTGCTGGCTGGCTGTGATTGTGAGGACAGTGCTGGCTGGCTGTGATTGTGAAGACAGTACTGGCTAGCTGTGATTGTGAGGACATTGCTGGCTGGCTAGCTGTGATTGTGGGGACAGTGCTGGCTGGCTGTGATTGTGAGGGCAGTGCTGGCTGGCTGTGATTGTGAGGACAGTGCTGGCTGGCTGTGATTGTGAGGACAGTGCTGACTGGCTGTGATTGTGAGGACAGTGCTGGCTGGCTGTGATTGTGAGGACAGTGCTGGTTGGCTGTGATTGTGAGGACAGTGCTGAGTCTGCTAGCTGGCTGTTATTGTGAGGACAGTGCTGAGTCTGCTAGCTGGCTGTTATTGTGAGGACAGTGCTGGTTGGCTGTGATTGTGAGGACAGTGCTGAGTCTGCTAGCTGGCTGTTATTGTGAGGACAGTGCTGAGTCTGCTAGCTGGCTGTTATTGTGAGGACAGTGCTGAGTGTGCTAGCTGGCTGTGATTGTGAGGACAGTGCTGAGTGTGCTAGCTGGCTGTGATTGTGAGGACAGTGCTGAGTGTGCTAGCTGGCTGTGATTGTGAGGACAGTGATGAGTGTGCTAGCTGGCTGTGATTGTGAGGACAGTCTGGGACCAAAGTCTGGTGAGATTGATGCGGGGAGGGGGGGGGGGGGGTGACAGGTTCTGGCAGATGCTCGAGGCTCAGAGGAAAGGCAAGACAGACATTTAATCAGAATGCTACTGGCACCATTAGTATCGGAACTCTTCGCTGGCTGCTGAAGATGAGGACGGAGCGCTTATGTGAATACCCCAAGTGCTGTGATGTCAGATCTTGAATCAAATCAAATCAAGTTCATACAAAGACAGCAGATCAAAGGGTTTGCCCAAGAAAGACAGCAGATCAAAGGGTTTGCCCAGCACAGACCGCAAATCAAAGGGTTTGCCAAACAAAGACAGCAGATCAAAGGGTTTGCCAAACAAAGACAGCAGATCAAAGGGTTTGCCAAACAAAGACAGCAGATCAAAGGGTTTGCCCAACAACAACAAAACAGCAGATTAAAGGGTTTGCCCACTTGGAAAGAATACCTAGCGATGCCATTATCTGTTGGCTGCCAGTTGCTATATAACAAACAGTATTGTAATTGCATCATATAAGCAATACACTTTAATGGCATGTAAACAGGTCGTTAGCTGGCTTTCTCATATTTCAGAGCAGCAAGAAGTTAAAGGTTCCAATACTCAGTAAATGGATGGATGCTTTTTCTGTAGAGAGCAAACAGTCAACGTTATAACCTGTACACTTCAGGGCAACTGGCTGCACTAGGCATGTGACCTTATATCCTCAGTCTCACAAATCCCCTGTTCAAAGTAGTGAAAAGGTAAAGGTGAAGTCAGGAGATGTGAACCAGCATCATTGTACACAGTTATAAGCCATAACTGCTCTGCCACCAGTACTGACAGCTCATAAGAATTGGTCGCCGTTCGCACGTAACTCTGTAGCTACAGCGACATTCCTCTATTTACCCCAGACTGTCAACTCTGGTACCCATTTCCTAGAGGCTGGGTGAACCCTGGGAGTCGCCCGGTTTCGAACAATGAACGTGGGCTGCAATGAGACGCAGCTGGATGTGAAAGCGAGCCTCTTATCGACTGTGCTAATGTGGCCCCCCTGTGTTCAAAGTAGTAGATAAAGACATTAAAGACAGTTGATTTAGTTGATTTACCTGACTTTTGTTTACCTTCATTAGAACAGTGGGGTGGACTGACTTTCTTTTGTTTACCTTCATTAGAACTGTGGGGTGGACTGACTTTCTTTTGTTTTCCTTTATTAGAACTGTGGGGTGGACTGACTTTCTTTTGTTTTCCTTTATTAGAACTGTGGGGTGGACTGACTTTCTTTTGTTTACCTTCATTAGAACTGTGGGGTGGGCTGACTTTTGTTTTCCCTTATTAGAACTGTGGGGTGGACTGACTTTCTTTTGTTGTTTTCCTTTATTAGAACTGTGGGGTGGACTGACTTTCTTTTGTTTACCTTCATTAGAACAGTGGGGTGGACTGACTTTCTTTTGTTTACCTTCATTGGAACTGTGGGGTGGACTGACTTTTGTTTACCTTCATTGGAACTGTGGGGTGGACTGACTTTTGTTTACCTTCATTAGAACAGTGGGGTGGACTGACTTTTTTTTCTGTTTGAGCAATAAAGACGCAAACAAAAGAAAGCAGTTTGTTGCATACTTAAACATTGTTCTCACTTCTTTCTTTTTATAATCACCAGAACAGTGGGTTAACCGCTGGCGATGTGCTGGCAGAGATTTCCAAACTTAAGTATCTGATTGTGGAGGAGGAGAGGAAAGAACAGAGGTACAAGGTGAGGCTCTAGAGATGTGGGATTACTGTTGTGTCATTGTAAGGCCTTGGAGATGTGGGATTACTGTTGTGTCTTTGTAAGGCCTTGGAGATGTGGGATTACTGTTGTGTCATTGTAAGGCCTTGGAGATGTGGGATTACTTTTGTGCCATTTCAAAACTTTGCAAATGTAAGATTACTGTTGTGTCATTATAAGGCTCTGGAGATGTGGAATTTTATACATGTTAACATATTTGTCGAGAGGCAAGATCTCCTATGCCAGTTGGCAAGGCACTTGGTGATGATGAACAAAACCTTAAAACACAATTTTTTTTTTTTATTTTGCTTTAAAAAAAATCCCTAAAATTTTGTGAAACTCTACTCGGATATAATAGTAGAGAAGAAGATGTAGAAGAAACATGAAATCTTGTTAAGTTTTTATAGAACCCTACAAATGGGTTATCAAGGGGGTTGAACCCCTAGATCCCGAAGCAGATGAAAGACCACCAAGGCTGCTGCTTGACTGTGGTCGTTGAGCCACTAGAAGAATTGTCTTTGAATTTACATCTATCCTCATTCACAGATGCTAGAAAATGGTTTGTTCTTGTAGAGGGAAAAAAATGACTAAATATAAACGGAACCAAAAAACTACCTGCTTTCCTTCCCTTTGATCGTGTTAAACATGGTTTGGATGCATCCAGTAAATGACATAATTATCCAAAATGTTTTCACCTTATATATTAGTCATACCCCCCACAATGTTTACATAGTGTTGTTGTTTTAACCAGTGACTAAGCTGTTATACCGGCGCAGTTGTGTTGTTGTTGCAACCAGTGACGAAGCTGTTATACCGACGCAGTAGTGTTGTTGTAACCAGTGACCAAGCTGTTATACCGGCGCAGTAGTGTTGTTGTTACAACCAGTGACTAAGCTGTTATACCGGCGCAGTAGTGTTGTTTTTGCAACCAGTAACTAAGCTGTTATACTGGCGCAGTAATGTTGTTGAAACCAATGACAGCTGTTGTTTGGGTGCAGTAGTGTTGTTGTAACCGTTAACAGAGCTGTTATACAGCAGCAGTAGTGTTGTTGTAACCAGTGACAGAGCTGTTATATAGGCGCAGTAATGTTGTTGTTGCAACCAATGGCAGAGCTGTTATACGGGCACATTGGTGGTGTTGTTGTAACCAGTGACAGAGTTGTTATACAGGCACAGTAGTGTTGTTGTAACCAGTGACAGAGCTGTTATATAGGCGCAGTAGTGTTGTTGTTGCAACCAATGACAGAGGTGTTATATGGGCCCAGTGGTGTTGTTGTTGTAACCAGTGACAGAGTTGTTATATGGGCGCAGTAGTGTTGTTGTTGTAACCAGTGACAGTGGTGTTATTTGGGTGCAGTAGTGTTGTTTTTGTAACCAGTGACAGAGCTGTTATACAGGCGCAGTAGTTTTGTTGTTGTAACCAGTGACAGAGCTGTTATACAGGCGCAGTAGTTTTGTTGTTGTAACCAGTGACAGAGTTGTTATACAGGCGCAGTAGTTTTGTTGTTGTAACCAGTGACAGAGCTGTTGTACAGGCGCAGTAGTGTTGTTGTTATAACCAGTGACAGAGCTGTTATACGGGTGCAGTAGGATTACTGTCCACAGACTTACTATCAGCACTAACCTATAAATGCCAGGACAGTTGTGGAGAGTGCAGGCCAGTTGTAGAGAGTGCAGGACAGTTGTGGAGAGTGCAGGATATTTGTAGAGAGTGCAGGACAGTTGTAGAGAGTGCAGGACAGTTGTGGAGAGTGCAGGCCAGTTGTAGAGAGTGCAGGACTGTTGTAGAGAGAGCAGGACAATTGTGGAGAGTGCAGGACAGTTGTAGACAGTGCAAGACTGTTGTGGAGAGTGCAGGACAGTTGTAGAGAGTGCAGGACAGTTGTGGAGAGTGCAGGCCAGTTGTAGTGAGTGTGGGACTGTTGTAGAGAGAGCAAGACAGTTGTGGAGAGTGCAGGACAGTTGTGGAGAGTGCAGGACTGTTGTGGAGAGTGCAGGACAGTTGTGGATAGTGCAGGACAGTTGTGGAGAGTGCAGGACAGTTGTGGAGAGTGCAGGACAGTTGTAGAGAGTGCGGGACAGTTGTAGAGAGTGCAGACACAGGAATTATAAGTTGTAATGCTGTTTACATATGGTGCTTCCAAATCTGTTTCAAGCTGGAAAATATCCGTCGGCGCCACAACTACCTGCCTTTTATTATGGAACTGCTCAAGATTTTAGCAGAAGACAGACAGCTGTTGCCATTGATAGAAAAGGTGAGCATTTCTGTGTGTCTTGTCTGCTCAGACTTTCTTTCTTTCCCTCTTCTACACATCCAGCCTTTTTTGTGTGAAGTCTACAACAATGTTGTTGTTCCGCTATCATCGTGATGCATGGAAGAATGTTGTTCTTCCACTGTCATAGTGAGTCATGGAAGAATGTTGTTCTTCCACTGTCATTGTGAGGCATATAGGAATGTTGTTGTTCCACTGTCATTGTGAGACATATAGGAATGTTGTTGTTCCACTGTCATTGTGAGTCGTGGAAGAATGTTGTTCTTGCACTGTCATTGTGAGACATATAAGAATGTTGTTGTTCCACTGCCATTGTGAGATGTGGAAGAATGTTGTTGTTCCACTGTCATTGTGAGACATGGAAGAATGTTGTTGTTCCACTGTCATTTGAGACATAGAAGAATGTTGCTGTTCCACTGTCATCATGAGACATAGAGGAATTTTGTTTTTTCACTGTCATTGTGAGACATGGTAGAATGTTGTTGTTTCACTGTCATTGTGAGACATGGTAGAATGTTGTTGTTCCACTGTCATTGTGAGACATGAAGAATGTTGTAGTTCCACTGTCATTGTGAGACACAGAGGAATGTTGTTGTTTCACTGTCATTGTGAGACACAGGAATGTTGTTGTTCCACTGTCATTGTGAGACATGGAAGAATGTTGTTGTTCCACTGTCATTGTGAGACATGGAAGAATGTTGTTTTTTCACTGTCATTGTGAGACATGGAAGAATGTTGTTGTTCGACTGTCATTGTGAGACATATAGGAATGTTGTTGTTCCACTGTCATTCTGAGACATATAGGAATGTTGTTGTTCTACTGTCATTGTGAGACATGGTAGAATGTTGTTGTTCCACTGTCATTGTGAGACATATAGGAATATTGTTGTTCCACTGTCATTGTGAGACACAGGAATTTTGTTGTTCCACTGTCATTGTGAGACACAGAGGAATGTTGTTGTTCCACTGTCATTGTGAGCCGTGGAAGAATGTTGTTGTTCCACTGTCATTGTGAGACATAGAGGAATGTTGTTTTTTCACTGTCATTGTGAGACATAGAGGAATGTTGTTTTTTTTTTCACTGTCATTGTGAGACACAGAGGAATGTTGTTCCACTGTCATTGTGAGACATGGAAGAATGTTGTTTCACTGTCATTGTGAGACATAGAGGAATGTTGTTTTTTCACTGTCATTGTGAGACACAGAGGAATGTTGTTCCACTGTGATTGTGAGACATGGAAGAATGTTGTTCCACTGTCATTGTGAGACATGGAAGAATGTTGTTGTTCCACTGTCATTGTGAGATATGGAAGAATGTTGTTGTTCCACTGTCATTGTGAGACATGGTAGAATGTTGTTGTTCCACTGTCATTGTGAGACATGGAAGAATGTTGTTGTACTGCTGTTGTTGTGTTGTACTGCTGTTGTTGTGTTGTACTGCTGTTGTTGTGGGATATCCACCATTACTTCTTGTTTGATTGTCTACCTGCCAGGCTAAACAAGCAGCAGCGCAGAGAAAACAACAGAAGGATGAGACTGCCATGGACACAAAGTAAACAACAGGTACAAGTGGGCATCTTTTTACTGCTTAAGAATGATGGTGATGATCGTGGATTTCTTGTTATTTTGAAATAATGTTAAATATTTACATTTGGAAAATTGCGTCAGTGGCTCGTCAGACTAATTTGAATTACTTTATAATTCGGATGTAACCTGTTTGATTCCAGCTGCAGGTCATTTGGCAGCAGACTGCTTTGCACTGATTTTGACAGGGGTACAGATCACCAGCCATTCAGCAAGCAGTGACAAATTACTCAATGTAAAATTGACTAGTAAAACCAAACAGCCACAACAAAATGACTAGAGTTGGTAATTCACTGTCCTGTAAAGGATACACAAGTAGCTTTTCTGTTAGGGAAATCTGAAAATCCATATCTGCACAGTCCATGATGACTACAGTAGCCAGGCAGCCCTGATCTCACAAGCTGAAATACCTCCCTCCCCCAGTCCTTGCCTGTGCAGCAAAAGTGGAAAATACAAGCAGTAGCAGCAGTTGGCGGATACATTGGAAGCCATCTTGACAATAAAGGTTGGTTACAATCATTTCAGATTCAGACACCTTTATATCCTGTCTCTCTACACACTGGCAGTCTGGTGGCGTATAAATAACCTTGAAGGGCACATTTGAACAGTGCATTAGAAACAACTTGCCAACCGTGTTTACATGTTGTCCCCGTCCACTTTTCGCAGGTGACTGCAGGCAGAGTAGAAGAAAGACTATGTATAAAATAGATCTCTCATTTCTTTCATCAAGTCTCTTTTCATTTTGATTATTATTATTTCCCTGAAATAGACATTCTACTGTATTTCCAGGGTTTCAGTTGGACTTTCTATTTGTTCACTGTCCAGCTTCCTATGTCATTTAGTAGTAGTGTTCAGTTTTAACAGCACATTGTTCTTTAATTTAGCGTTGTGTGTCTCTCCAGCTGGGTATATCATGTTCATGTAGTGGAACATGTTCACAGCAATATCGCTGATGACATTGCTTCATTTGTCTGTTGTTACAGCCATGTCACACTGAATATATCAAGACACAGAATTACTATTCATTTTTGAATAGGAAATATAATGCCACAAATGCCAGTTTTTTCTTCTGTTATTACATTTACATAAATTACCTTGATTAGGTCACTGACTAGTATGTCTATGTTTGAGAATACTTTGTCAAATGTATTAAAAGTTTTTTTGTCTCTTTTCTCATCCCACAGAATAAAGAATCTCAGAAAAGACTCTTGCTTCTGTACCATTTTGTGTTTTCTGTGGCAAAATAAAGACATTTTGTTCTACAAGGGAGATGTGTTTTGCACTTGTGTTTCTGGCGATTCAGCACAGCACACACAGACTTGCTGGGGCATGGCCTGGGTTGATACTTTCTGTGACAGGTTTAGATGTTCAGTTGAACACAGAACCTGACCTAGTTCTCTGGGGACAGAATTTAGACTGCAGTAACTTAGAAATACAGAACAAATTTATGTCAAATGATGTGGGATAGAGTTAAAACACAATACGGATGTGGCTGTTTGCCTAGCTCTCAACCTTTTGAAAATATAGTTTGTCTGTTTTTTATTTATATATTACTAGCTTGAACAGGATAATTGTGGGATGGTGTGTCCTGAAGAGAAACTTTCTACTACCAATGTCAACAGTGGGATGGTGTGTCCTGAAGAGAAACTTTCTACTACCAATGTCAACATTGGATTCAACTACCAATGTCAACAGTGGGATGGTGTGTCCTGAAGAGAAACTTTCTACTACCAATGTCAACAGTGGATTCAACTACCAATGTCAACAGCGGGATGGTGTGTCTTGAAGAGTATCTTTCTACTACCAATGTCAACAGTGGGATGGTTTGTCCTGAAGAGTAACTTTCTACTACCAATGTCAACAGTGGATTCAACTACCAATGTCAACAGTGGATTCAACTACCAATGTCAACAGTGGGATGGACACACCATCCCACTGTTGTTTTTCATGTTAATGTGCCCACACTTTCGTTAACACGTAGACACTGATGACCTTGTTTCCAGTTCTCACAGTATGTTTATTGAAGTACTCATGATAATTGCAAACGTAAGTCTGGTTTACACACAAAGTTATTGACTACTGAGTAGCCACCCATTTATCCTTATAGCTCACACCTTAATCTAAAGTAGACACTGTCTGAGTATATCAACAGTACGCTGGTATAGTCGTTCACAAATCAAAATGAACATAGTCATGAGAGGCTAGCGGATGCACCTGGAGAAATAATTTGTATCATCCTGGCTACAACAACTAACTTTATAAACCCTGCTAAAAAAAAAAAAAAAAACACTTGTCACAAGTATGAAGTACTACAACTCTACAGCTTTATAATCCAGTCCATGCCATTATTGCTGTACCTGTTTGTCAAGTCCCCTTGTAGAACCCGTGACACTCAGTTACCCTTATAGTCCTGCAGGTCTTGTTTATACATAACCTCTCTGACCAGTCATTGACCTGTCTGCTGTTATGAGTCAAGAGTCTAGTTGTAGTTTGTCTTTCTCTTACAGTGTGTGATAAAGTTGACTCCTAAAGGTATACTTTCCACTACTAATTTAATCAGTGGTATGGTGTATCCTAAAAGTATACTTTCCATTACTAATTTAAACAGTGGGATGGTGTATCCTAAAGATATACTTTCCACTACTAATTTAAAAAGTGGTGGTGTGTCCTGAAGATTTACTTTCCACTACTAATTTAAACAGTGGTGGTGTGTCCTGAAGATATACTTTCTACTTGTTTCAAAGTGGGTTGGTGTATCCTGATGGTTGTATAACCCAGTGATGTAGAAAGGCGAGAAACAGAAAGTACTGTGCATCTTATGCTTCTCTCAACCCTTCAGAAGAAACATGTTAATAACTAATCAGACTACAACGTTCATGTTTGACAACTTCAGATGCTATAGGCTCAGCTCCCTTGAGCTCTCCCACCCCATAAATCTTAAGGGATAGCACCTCCGCGTCCACCCCCTAGAAAACTTGAGGGGAGGGTAATATGTGGCCTCTCTAATCATCTACACATGATTTTTTTAATAGTTGTTTTTTTTTTTACATTTCGTATTAGAAATATTTTTTTTTTGCCAGGCAGCCGTAACAGTAGTCATTATTATTACTGCGCACTTAAATGTGGCTTAAGCCCTAAGGCCACAAAACCACAGATATCCTGGTGGCGGCGTGCTGCTAGATGTAAGCCTAACCCTATGGTGTAGAAACAAAACACACATCTGTTGTTTGTCTATACATGTACACCCATTGTGTAGACACAAAGCACACATCTGTTGTTTGTCTATACATGTACACCCATTGTGTAGAAACAAAACACACATCTGTTGTTTGTCTATACATGTACACCCATTGTGTAGAAACAAAACACACATCTGTTGTTTGTCTATACATGTACAC